AGCCAATCAGTCTGTTCAATTTCTAACTTACCTATGGGCTGCCGGGCTATTTATCGAAATACCCAATGGGTTGCTGTTTCTTTTTGCCAACATACCCATGGGTCGACGAGTAGATTATAGAAATTCCGAATGGGACGATTGTTCAATTTTCTGATCTGCCGAGTCGTTTTCCGAAATGACCAGTGAGGCGCTAGTTCAGTTCGCAAACCTACCTATGGGTTGCCGACTCGTTTGCGGACTGCCCTAAGCGAGATTGGTTCGGAATAGGGCCGAACTGCAGAGGGTGTGGTTTGCTCGCTTAATTAATTCGCTAATCAACCAATGCATTGCGTGTTCCATACGCGAAACGACGCATGGGCGAGTTTGCGAACAGCCCCATTGTGTTCTCCGGCTACTTTCATGAATATGAAATAGTGTCTCTGCCGTTTAAATCTCTCGCGTCGACAAGAACCTGCTGGGTGGGGCGTGAGCAGTGCAGTTGCAGTACCGACCGACCAGGGCTGTGTCCTGTGGGGTGGCGTCTGGGCAGGTCTTTTTAAGCTACTGTTAGAGGTGGAGCAGAGAACCTGTTCCAAAAATCTTCAAGGAGCGTGTGTCGCGCACAATTTCCACTCGGGTTCTTCGTCGGGGTAATTCTTATGGTGCTCGTTGCCGAATTTATTAGGGGAGAGTAGGGAAACATCGTTCCAAAGGCCCTTAGGTGGGGACTTAGGCGTAAGTCAGGCCATATATATGAGTCAGGCCGCCTGCCAGGCTCGGGGTAGGCCACCCGTTCGGCCGGGCTGTTGCACGTGTAGCCTACCCGCGCTATCGCAGGCGCTCTATCCTCGCCTCGTGGCGGCAGCAGCTCGCCACCCTCTCGTGCTCTCTGTTGCGGCGCCCTCTCGGCGGCAGCTCGCCACCCTCTACGGACCTCTCTCTCTCTCTCTCTGTCGCGGCGTCCTCGCGGCCGCAGCTCGCCATCCCCCTTGTGCTCAGGGACCTCCCTCTCTGTCGCGGCGTCCTCGTGGCGGCAGCTAGCCTCCTTGTGCTCACGGACCTCCCTCTGTCGCGGCGGCAGCTCGCCACCCTCTTGTGCTCACGGACTTCCCTGTATGTCGCGCCGCCCTCGCGGCGGCAGGTCGCCACCCTCTTGTGCTCATGGACCTCCCTCTGTCGCGGCGCCCTCGCCTCCTCGTCACCCTCTTGTGCTCACGGACCTCCCTCGCTCTCTGTTGCAGCGGCCCGCCCTCGGGCATGCCTCGCGGCCGGGGCGGCTACACCAGCGGGCCCGTGCGGGGCGCTCCCCGCGGCCGCGGCTCCTCCGACACCTGGACGCCGCGCGGCCGCGGCCGGGGAAACTACAACAGCTACCAGTCTCGCGGGGGCGGCAGCAGCATGACGTCGGGCTCCAGCGGCCAGTGGTACAACAAGGACCACCAGTCGCAGCCGAGCTACCGGAACAACAACGACCGATACCAGTCGTCGGGTGAGTCCCGAGCGGAGCGCCTCGTGGTCGGTGTGCTTCGCCCGCAGTCTCTCACTGTCTCTCTTTTGCACAGGGTCACGTCCCAACGAGTCCAGGTACCCGTCCACCCGCGGGGGAAGCTCAGTGGACTACAATAACCGCAGATATAGTCGGGTGAGTGGCGCTGGTGGACGCTGTCGCATCTGCCCATTGTTTCACTTCGTGTTTGTTTTTAACTGTTTGTTTTTCTTCCAGGACGCTCCTCCAACATATTCTTCTGGTCGCGATCACCACCGGTCGCCGGATCCTCTCCCCAGAAAACGCATGCGGACAGATTCGTACTCTCCCGTGAGTTTCTAAAGTTTCTTCATTTAGACTGGCCTCTTTTTACGTGGGTGGAAAGGGATGGGCATCATGAGACCTACAAACTACTTTAGTTGATGCTATGGGAGAGAATCTGATTGAAGTGGTGAAGATATTTTGGCAAACAAGACCGTGGAATTGTGATTTTAGTTGAAAACAAAGCCCAAACAGTGCCCAGTAAAAAAAAGTGAAAGTATTAAGATTAGAGGGTTTGAGTGATAATAATGAACAAGTTGACAGTGATAAATTCCTGTGCCATTATCGTCTGTGGTGTGACCAAAGTGAAGATGTTGCATTGAGATTTAGCACGAGGGAAACTTGAAGCATTTGATTGTATTTGAGCATCAATTGATGACGAGCCACATAATCAGTACTTGGGCTGAAATGGACCATGATTGGTATTGTAGATGGATATAACTTACTTTGAAGAATAACGTTTGTTTTGGTGAACTCAAACGCCTCTCATGTGCATGGTCCTTCCCAATTTTAATCGACTGCACTGTTGTCCTCTTCCCCTGCAACTTATATGGCAAGACTTAAAAATGTGTGATGAAATGCATAGATCATTCATTTCTTTGGTTATAATTAATAATCTTTTTTTTCTATCAGTGAATCATTTGGTTCTGTGTTAGTGGATGCATCATAGTGTATTTGCTTTTTAAAACATAAAGTTGTGGATTGTTTGAATACACAGGCATCAAGCCGGCGCAGCCATGATGGTGGCTATGAATACTCAAGCTCAACCCGCTATGAATATGGCTCTGATAAAGGCAGCTACAGCAGTGAGGATCGTGGACGTCCAATGTACAGAGAAGAAAGAAGGCCCTCAGCTGACAGGAGGGATGATTTCCATTCCCCTCGTAGCCGTGACCCATCTGGTTCAACAATGCCTCCTCCTAGTGGTCCTGTGCGTGGTGGAAGCTATCGCAGTAGAGGTGCTCCTATTCGAGGCCGTGGAGTCACTCGTGTCTTCACTAGAAGGCCAACAGATGTATCACTTGCTGCACGCAAAACAAGGCTCATTGAGGCTTATGCTGCCAAGAGACGCATTCTTACTGGAAGATCCCAGGACTATTACAAGAAGTTGAAGAGCTTAAAATTAAGGAGGTAATTGTATGTTAATTTCATGAGGAAAATTTGGTAATTGATATAATAGAGGACGGAAGAGAACCAAGTGGTATATGTGAAACATGTAAAATGCAGTATGCATGAAAACCTATTTTCTGCTGACATCTGCTTGTAGCATAGAACATCCTTTTAATCTGGAGTGGTTCCTAATGGATAAAGAATGTTGCTGAAGAATGGCTGTGATATAGCCGGAGGGTATATTATTTCATCAGAGTATCACCTCAGAATTAAACCGAATGAAGGATGCTGAATTATCATTCTTTGATTCGTGTTTTCTGTACAAAAAAGCTCGCCTTACCTGAATTCTAGTGTGAACAATTATTATCCACAATTGCACTTTGAATTACATCCTATTCTATTATTTTTAAAAAATGCAACATGCTTTTGTGAAAGTAATTGCACCATTATGCCATGAAGAATTTAATGACAAATTTAAGTTCTCAAGATGGCATTGAAGACAATGAAGCTGAATGTCTGGTATTGGTTCTACCTCTTTAGCATTTCTCCAAAGAGTTGACAGTAGTATCAAGTATACATTGACATCTGGTTCTCCCACTGACAATAGAAGATATTGTATGATTATATTTTTTGTCTTAATGTGGTGTACAATAGTTTGTGTTGGATGCTCGGCACATCAGTTTATCAGGGTTGCTTGTGGGTTTCATGTTGATTTTAAAACTCAGCTTAAACTATACTTTATTTCGGATAGTGTCTCTTTTATTTTTTGTCCTGCATACAGTAATAAATTTTGTATTTCAGTGCTGCCCTCATGTCGGCAAGAAGAGATGGCATCAAGTCAGAACATGGAGACAGCGAGGATGAAGCTGAGAATTGGGATGATGAACCTGATATGAAGGTGTGTTTTCTTCTCTTCATTAACTCTTTTCAGTAAGTATTGATTCTAGTAATATGGCCTTTAATGTTTTGTAGGATTCCATCAGTGAAAATGAAGAGGGTGCCAAGGATCCAGATGATGAAGATACTGAAGAAAAGAAAAAAGTTGTGCGGAAAGTAGTTAAGAAAGTTCCTATTAAGAAGAAGGCTGCACCATCTGCTGAGCACGAGGGTGATGACTCAAAGGATGCTACTGAAGATGCAGAAGGAAAGGAGAAAGCCACTGATGACCAGGTGGCTGATGATGACGCTGAGGCAGCAGAAGAAGTGGAGGGTGATCAGGAAGGTGATGGTGAACCTAAGATGCAGGTTAGTAAATTCTATTTTCTCAACTTAAAGTTAGTTTTAAGAGAACAGAAGTTTTCACTGCCGTAACTGTTCTAGGTGACCATTAAGCAGGATTCAGAGAGCAGAGATGTTTGCGATGAAGGAATCCGCAAACCTCCTGCAGCTAAATCAGGCTACAAATACATCAAACTTTACTGTGTTCACTGCAAGGAACGCTACATCACTTTCAAGGTACATGCTCTACCGCTTTTTAAAAAGTACTTTTCCTTTTCTGCGAAGTTCAATTTCAATCGGTTGTTTCTGTAATTTAGGAATATCAAAACCATCTCAGAGGTCTACATCATGTCAACGCTATGCGCAAGTTATCCTTCCGTTTAAAGCAGAACCTTGCTAGAATGAGGGTGGAACAGAGAATCCAGCAGCGCGTGGATGAGAAGGAGGACGAGCTTAGAGGAGTAACTGGTGGGCGAACCAGTTATTGTCAAACCTGCAAACTCAACTACCGCTCAGACCGAGCTAAACATAATGAGTCTGAAATGCATAAGGTAAGTCTGCCTTCCATAAAACCATTACTGTGTTAGTCAAAATGTCAGTGTTGGGTAAAATTTTCTTTTATTGTCTTAAATATTCCTTTTCAACCATAGTATTACATATTTTAATTTTTAAATTGGAATTGAAAGCCTATTGCACTGCCTGCTAGTCCTAGAAGGGTGTTCCAGTTAGTACCCCGGTTTTGTAAGGACTACTCTACTTCTATTATTTTTCAAAAAGTCTTGGGTTAACTTAAATTGAATTTTGTTTGTTAGGTTTTTTTTTCTATTTTTCTTTAAAATACTTCCAAGTGTCCCTTTTGCTATTTATTATTTTTAAATACTCTAATTACCTTCATGAGTCACAGCCCTCTTGAAATTTGGGTACTTTGGGTACTTGTAAAACTCAGAATTTCATTTAAAATTAATCTGACTATCCTTATTATTTTTTATTATCTAATCTTCACTTGTTTTATTGCTAGTATTTTTCTCTTTAGTATTCTTGAATTATTTCAAGTTGTAAATCTGAAATTGTTTCATAAAACATTCCATTTTGAGACTTTCTGAAAGCACTCCCTTTAAGCCCTTCATGCTTGATCCTGATTGGCTGTTGCTCAGCTGGTGTCAGGAGCTGGCGCCGGTGTTGTGTCCGAGCCAGTACCGAGTAGTAGTTTGTTTTGTTTGTGTCTCCCACAAAGTCACCATGGTTAACAATAAGAATAAGAAATTTAAGAAGGGCGCTTTTAAGAATGCGGGAGTGAGAACTGTGTACTATTATAATTCTGAGACTGGGGTGATGAAACCAAAAAACAAGAAGTGCTGCAAGAAAATATCTTGCATGGTAAACCATAGTGACACATGTAGCATGTCTGCCTGAGTTTTCCTTGTGATTTTGTTGCTAACTTCGATTTCTGTTCACAGAAAATGAAGGAGTTTTTAATGCCCACGTGCGTCATCTGCCGCATTAACTTTAGAAGTCCTATGCTGTTTGAAAACCACATTTGTTCACTTGAGCACATCAAGGTAAGTGTCTTGCTCGGCCGTGCCGGTTGTCGATGTCAGATTTTCTCTTTTCCCGGGAGTATTCTTTTTTTTCTAGTTCTGTTAATCATCATTTCTTTACATTTATGATGTATTCATTCGCTTGGTCGTGCTTAGGCTTTTTTCTGTCGTTTGACGGTGTTCCCGAATTTCTAATTTGCGAATGTAGATTCGGCCAAACAGGCTTGTCGTACGTGCACTACCGCGTCGGGTGAAGTTGAGACCTGGCTCGCCGGATCTTTTTCTTTATCTGGTTATCCTCACTAATTCCTTTTTTTTCCACAAATCGAGCCATTTTCCCCTCGCGACGATCCGATTTGATGTTACGCGCTTAACTTATCTGACGGGCGAAAATGTTTTGGCAATGCATCACTTTTCGCAAATTTGTGCACCTATTTTTCTTTCAAGTTCAGCTAGTCTTCATGAGACATATTTTAATTTTTTACAGATGGAAGAAAGGGTGTTGAAAGGCCGTGATCGTGAGCATCATGCTGAAAAGGAAGTTGACATGGACAGTCTTCTGGTTTTAGATAGTGTTGGAAGTGCTGATGGTGAGTTCTTAACTCCTATTTTTAATATCTTTCCCACCAAATCTTCAACCTTTGCTAATAATTATTGACTTTACTTATAGAATCAGATTCAGAGGAAGAAGGATCAGAAGATAAATCAGAAAGAGGAGATGGAGAAAAGAAGAAGAAAAAGGCCCAAATTAACCTTGGTTAGTTTTGTTTTTAAAACTTGTTTCTTTACTATGCCCTAATTATTATAGATTTAGGTCTGTGAATCTCTAGTATGTCATTTCTTTTTGTTAAAGGTGCTGATTATGTCAAGAAGGTACAAGTTATGTACTGTGAGCTGTGTGGTATCTATCTTCCAAGGACTGGTGAGGAAGATGTTGCATTAGCCAACCACTGCAGAACGCGAAATCATCTTCAAAGATATGTTCGCTACAAGGATGACAGAGCACTTAGAAAAGAAGCAGAGAGAATTCACCGTCGAGACAAGGCTGAGCAAGAAGCCCGCAAAGCTCAAGAAGCCAAGGTATGTTAATCTCTCTACCTTTATATGTCTTGGTTTCACTGTCTCATTTCTTTTTATCTTGTTAGATCTCTTATCCATTGTGTCCTTATTACTGTTTGCAGAAAGAAGTAGGTGAAAGCTCAAGTAGTGCAGAGAAAGCTCCAAGTAAAGATGAGAATGCAGAGGAGAAACCAGAGAAAAGTGCCAACACTAGCTTGGATGCTAGTGGCGATAATGTTGACTTAGATGACAAACTTTGGGCTGATGTTGATAAAAGATTGGATGAACTGCTAGAAGAGGTGTGTTTCTTGTTTCTATCCATTATGAAAACTATCTATCTATTCTAGTTGAACTAAATACACATTTTATGTTTCTATTTTAGGTGGAGCCTGGTAACAAGTCCAGTGATGATGATGACGAGTCTGGTCGATATGATCGTTTCCGGTACTCTGACAAGAAAGGAGGAAAAGCCTCTAGTGAAGACAGGGAAGGAGGTGAAACCTCTAATAGCAGCTTACCCTCTGCTGCAGATACCTCAAGTAAGCAAGAGGTTACCTCTCCTAAGGAAAATTAATATCTTCTAGTAATTAACTGATCAATTTTATGCACTAAGAAAAGCTCTTGCCAAGAGTATGTATAGTGGTTTATTTTATTTACTTTTATTTGAGTCATGTGACTTGTGTTATTCTATATTTAGTCTAGAATATTGTTGTTTTTTCCCCAATCGTGTTTCACTTTTTCATAGGTTTGACTGTATTTAATCAAGTAATCAAATGTTCTTGCATAACGTTGGATGTTAAACGTTAAATTGCAAAGAAAATGTGTACAAACCGCTCTGCTTGTATGAAGTGTGTAATAAACACATTAACTTTAAACGATATGTGGTATAATTGATCTTTTCCTTCTGAGAAGTGTTGCAGACCTCCCAGTGAGAGGTGGAGCTCTAGGACAAAGCTTGTTTCTTTCACATTAAGCATAGAATACAATTGGTATAACAGTTTAATTGGTTTGAAAACAATAACATTTAACATATTACAACAGTCAACATTGCTTACAAAATATAATTCTTTCAGGTGTAGTGTAGAGCTCAGCTGGATCACTGCTGTTCTATTCTCCAAAAACATTTGTCGAGCTAGATTTTCCCTTCAAAAATATAGCACTACTTAATCAGTCTGGAAAATGGATTTCAGTATACTATGAACATGACCTAATTATGAACCAACATGCCAACAAAATGGTAAAAATATGTTGAGCCACACTACAATTTTCAAATCTCAATTTCATAAAAAACTTTTCTGAAGGACACATAACTTGTAACAGTAAAACCATACTTACTGTAAATTACAAAAATAAAGTAACTCTGATTGTAAATTTTAACAAAGGTATCTATCACAAAACAGCACTTACAACAGCAACCCTCAAAGAAGAGTAAAAAAGGGATAGTTTAGTCTAATTGTCCTGGTAAAGGTAGGATTTTCTTTCCATTACTTTGATTTGGAACAAAATCATTTAATTCAGTAGGTATTTAGATAGTGGGCATTCTGGCTATCTACCTGAATCAAATAAAAGCATTACATCTCTAGAAATAAAATTGTAAGGATCACTACAAAACAACTTTATATTAAATGAAGGCTTTCTTAGTATTTTTGCTCCCAACTTAAAAATTGATTTAATGGAATTTGATCAGGGTTAATACCAAATGGCACTGAAATGGGTACTGAAACAGAAAATGGAACTAGCACAGGCAACGGTTCTGAAGTGACAGTAGATGACTCTTCTGAAACCAAAGGTTCAGGATTGGAAGCAGCCAGTGTTGCCAAGGTAGTTGAATCACTTTGATGTATTAAATGGTGAGATTCAGCTTGATGAGGCACATGGATAGGTAAAGGGTGCTGTTGTACATCCACGTGCACCTCATGCATGGGAATTTGTTGGACTTGCTGCACTTGGTGTTGTACATGGGATACAGGTAGAACTTGCAAGTGCTGCGTTGGCTGAACATGAACCTGTTGGAGATGTTGCATCTGCTCATCTTGTGCTATCTGCGGGAGCTGTTGTTGCGCACAATGATGCGATTCCTGCATGTGAAGACTGAGATGCAGTTTCGAGGGGAAAAACTTTCCACAGGAGGAACAAAGTTCTTCCCTTTCATCTTCATGACACTTTGCATGCCTCCTTAAGCCAGCTGAAGTGGTGAATCCCATATTACATATTTCACATAAATGTTCTTTCAGGGCAAGATGCATTCTTTCATGAGTTCGTAAACTGGAGCTGAACTGTAAAGATTTGTAAAAATAGAACAAGAAAGTTAAACACTGGAACAGGATTAGCAAAATTGAATTTTACTTCCAAATAGAATAAGGTCTTACTGCAAATGCTTTTCCACAATGCTGGCAGTTATAAGGCTTATCTCCAGTATGGGTCCGCATATGCTTGGGTAAATCATTATGCCGAAATGACTTTTTACACACTTGACAGGAATATGGCAGAACATCTGAGTGGATTCGTTTGTGTCTTGTTAATTGATAAGAATGGACAAACCCTTTTCCACACTCAGGTTCATCACACCAGAAACGAGGCACTCCCTCATGCTGCAAAACATGAGCATTAAGGCCAGCACGCCTTATGAAAATTTTGCCACAGACTGGGCAGCGTAAATCTGGATTGGGCTCTCGTTTTCTTTCAGTCCGAGTATGGAGTAGAAGATGGCCTGGAATTTTTTTGAGATATTGAAATACTTGACTAATTAGATACCAATACAAAAATGGTAATATAAATGTGAAATCTCACCACTGAGGCCAAAAGCACGTGTGAAAGTTTTATCACATAAATGGCACTGATGCTTCTTCTTAGCCTTCTTTGGGCTTTTCTCAATGTCCTGGTCTTGTTTTGGATGAGATACCATATGACTAGCCAGTGCACTAGGCGACTGAAAGCTCATGGAGCATTGGGTGCAATGAAACTGGAAACAAACAAAAAACAGTTAATTTTTAAAAGAACTCCTTTTTAAACGTCTTGGATGCATTTCTTTACTCTGGACAATTTTACTGTACCATGTTAAGTGCGGATGGACGAATTGGTGCACTGTCATTGCTACTCCCGCTCATTGAATCCATATGATGATACATTTCTAATTTTTCATTATGATGTTGGGTCACTTCATTCTCTTGACTTAAAAGACTATCATGCTCCAGCTGAACCAAATTTTGATGCGAGGACTGATTTTGAATTATTACAGACTGCTGTGATTGCATTTGAATTGATTGTTCACCAGATTGATCAGGACATTGTTGAACTGGTTCGTGAGAATTTGGAACAGCCTGAGAAAATGAATTATAGGGGGGATTGACAGAGGTATCAGGATTTGCTGTACCACCCCTTCTAGACCTTCGAGGTCCACTATGAAACCTCCTGATGTGCTTAGCAACATCATTGTGCTTGAAACCTCTTCCACAAATATTACAGCAAAAATTAGGGACAGCACTATGGGTGTTGTTGTGGCGTTGAAGCTGAGACCTACTTTTAAAACCTTTGTTACACAAGGTACAGATGAAATCTTTCTCATCTGAATGAACAGTCATATGAGAAACAAGTCTGCTAGGTTTATGGAAAACTTTCTGGCAAACTTCACATGCATATGCATTCTTTGGTCCCCTCTGGTTATTTTGACTACAATTCAAAACATCACTATTTTTTTCATTTTCAATATTATTTAAAACAGGTGATGGAGCCGCAACAATGATTGATGTAACTCGAGAGCGACGTGCACCAGCAACATCTTCTTGCTGATTTGCTATAACCAAGCTGTGTTGGCTGTCATCATCAGTAGTAATGCTTGGCACTGATTCTTGGTCAAGTGGACTGCCTTTCATTCTGTTCAAATCTAATTCAAGAGTCAGGCCTCCAAATGTTTGCTCAGGTGGTCTTGCAGGCATGATTGTCAAATTTTGAATGTGGATTCCCTAGAACAAGAAAAATAGTTCGTCATTCATAATTATATTAAAATATTTAATTGAATGAAATAAAAAGATGGAAATTTACCTGCGAAGCTGATTGTTGTTGTAGTATGGTTTCCATCTTGATGACTTCTAATATCACAGCATGGACCTAAACAACATTTTGATGATACGTCAGTTGTGGAAAATTAGCTTGATTGAATCTTTGAATAAATATACAGGCATAAACCCAAAAGCCATATGAAGGCAGGAGAAATTAAGTAAAAGAGTATCGGATAGGTAAAAAGTGTTTGCAATTTAATGTTAAGTGGTCAGGACAAATTAGAAAACTATTAAGAGAAGAATTTAAATGGAAGGTTATTATTACACTTAACAAGTTTGAAATAACCACAAGTATATAATTTGAAATAATTGAATGCTGTGAATAACACTGAATGTAAACAATAACTGACATTGTAGGCTAACCTTGTCTTTGTCGCTCACATCAGATTTTCTTCGAGGGGCAAGAAAGCACTACAACAAACACCATAGCAGGGAATTGGGGAAAATTTACTTATAAAGTTCAATATTTATTCTATAAATATTTTTCTGTATAACAACAAAAAGGCATATATTTAGAAAAATCAAAACCATCCAGTACAGACGTTCTTGTTCTGGCGCTAAGGACGCCCTCTACCGAGAGTATTTCGAACATAAGCTGTTGCGTATAGGTAACATATGTAGATAAAATAACGAGAATTTGGGCGTGATTTAAGCTACTGCAATCGAATCCGTTTCATTTTAATAGAGAAGGAGTCTCAGAATGCAGCAGTTATGGTAAAACTGATTTACAAGGAATGAGAATTCTATAATGAACGTTTCCTTTAAGTCATTTTTTTGGCAAGTTGAAAATATAAACAATGCCACCCTGGTCTGACGAGATGAAGGGGGTGGGGGTTAAAACTTGACTCCCTCCGCGATCTCTAGAGTCGTTTTTTTTGCTGTGGTGGCCCCCTGTGTGCTAATCCTTAAACGATTTTAACGTTTGTCTCAGTCTTCCCATTTCAATACTTGTTTCATGTATATTCTGCCCTCGTCTCATGGTCTCCCTGTTTACTGACCTCATTGCCTAGTATTAAAATGGTAAGTCTCTCTTGAAAGTTGTATGAAGTTTGTGAAGGTACTCCCTGTCAATGACGTTTTTGATTATATTGAATTCAAATGGTTCTGGACAGTCCCCTACAACGCTTACTCACTTTCTTGAATTGATCAGTCATCCAATGCGTCAGACTGAGATATTTTCTGTCAGTCTTTTTTGTATTAAAACATATTAGACAATATCAAATTCTTCATTTCTATTCCTAGATAGGTTAGGTAATTCTTTGGATGTTAAGTGGAATTCAATTCAGATAGTGACAGTGACACTTGCTTTGGTGATTTGAGTTTCTGTCCTTTTGGAGCAATCATATATATATTTATACCATGGGAAATTGTGTTTATTTTTACTGTATTGGTTTCAGCACAAGCTTAAGTCATCGCAGAGAGATAAAGTCAAAAAATTTATTGCTTTCACTCAAACTGGTGAAGCTACAGCAATATTTTGCCTTGCTCAGAATGAATGGAAGTTGGAGCTTGCATCGGACAATTATTTTCAGAATCCTCATGTTTATTATAAGGAGCCAAAAGTGTCAGTAGATAGAAAAAGGCTAGAACTGTTATTTAATAAATACAAAGGTAAGTTCTAAGTTTTCTATCAGAATGATAAGAAAAAACCCAATCTTTGATAACTACATTGTATTTCAATATATTTTGTCTTCATTCTCTACTTAGACCCTCAGGAGACAGATAAAATGACTGCTGATGGTATAGTAAGGTTTTTGGATGACTTAAATTTAAGTCCGGATTCTAAATTGGTTCTGATAATTGCCTGGAAGTTTCGAGCTGCTGCTCAGTGTGAATTTTCAAGAGAAGAATTTATGACGGGCATGACGGAATTGGGGTGAGTTTAAATTTCTTTTTCTCTATTTCTCAACTCCTTCAAAGGTATTGTTGAATAATTACTCTTTTTCTCCTTCTAGAACGGATTCAGTTGAAAAGTTAAAGGCGCGGCTACCATCATTAGATGCTGAGCTAAAAGATAATTTAAGATTTAAGGATTTCTATCAGTTTACATTTAACTATGCTAAGAACCCTGGACAGAAAGGCTTGGATTTGGATATGGCCATCACATACTGGAATATTGTGCTTCAAGGGAAATTCCGGTTTCTAGATTTGTGGTGCAAGTTTCTCCAGGTTATTATTTTTTAATTAATTCTTTAGTGTTAGAGAATTAATTAGCTTCATTTCTTTAGAGTTAATGTTTATTAATCAATATTGCAGGATCATCACAAGTGCTCCATACCTAAAGATACATGGAACCTACTTCTGGATTTTGCCTTGGTTATTAGCGAAGATATGGATAATCATGATGAAGAAGGGGCATGGCCTGTCCTTATTGATGATTTTGTAGAATGGGCTCGACCAATCGTCAAAGGGTCAAGTACTTTACCTCCTCATAGTACACAAGTGTAAAGTAAATTCATTGTGACATTTTATAGGTACACTTTTGTGTGGGTACATAGATTGTTTCCTGACTAATGTGGCCTCTTTCACAATATACTTGGGATAGTTTTCATTTTCTCAAGAGGTATGTTAATATTTTTTAAAGACACAGAAGAATTGTGATGTTGTTATGTTTGTGATACAAAGTATGTTAAAATTAAAACTAGCCTTACTTTTTTTTTTGTTTTTATGAAATTGTTTTGTAAAGATCTCCTTCACATTCTTTCATAGAAGTTTTCTCAATTTATATTTGGGGTGATGGCTGTCTATTGTAGGTAGACTCAAAAGTTTTTGTTTATCAAAACTTGAAAGTCATCCATAATTGTCAGCTGAAAAGATGGTAGTCAAGTCATCCGTATCCTTTTGTTTGTGTTATTATCCTGTCATTACATTTATGTACTGCCATAGAGTCGAGGTACTGTAAGTGCCATAGGTAAAAAAACACACTATAGGTAGTGTTTACGTGTGACAGTTCTTTTATGTGAGTTTTGGAATATTTCCAGTGATTAACAAAAATTTGGCAATACATGATGTTTGTAAGCTATGGCTGTGAGTGTTTCAGCACCATAGCATTTTAAAAACCTCGAGAACTCTATGACTCAAGTCATGTGATGCCCTCTTGTCAAGGAAGCATTCACACCCTCACCTGGAAACCTGTTCTTAAATATTTTTATCATCATCGAGACACGTAGGCTTCCGTTTAGTTTGATGTGAAATATGTAGTGATACAGTGGAATATTTTCATTAGCAAATTTTGAGGGGGAAATCTTTTAACATAATTTGAGTATAGCAGATAAAATATTTTTATTGTTACAGCTATACATAAGGCAAGCTCATTAGAAGATGGTTTCTAGGCAGGTCAGGCATGGAATTATGTATAGGGCAGACAAGAATTAACCTGTGAAATCATAACGTGTTGAAACTGTGAGCAGTCTTTAGCTTCAGCACCCATTGTGTAGTTTAATTTCTAATTATCAAAGTAATGCACATTCTCATTTAGATTTCATTTACAAGGAAGACATGTTCTTAAGTTACTTCTCTCTAGTTTGCATAAGAGTGTCTATTGAATTAGCCCCTGTTAGGTTGCTAGTTGATCTACCGATATTTGAGAAGGTAAAATGGGCCATTTTCAACATGTTAAGCTTAAGCAGATAGTTTTTCTTGTTTATTACTCATGAGTGAGTGTGTGGACTGGGCCCAGTTGTTTCTGTTTCTATGGACAGTTTCGGTATCCCCCCTAGTTTTCCTTCCAGATGCAGTACTTGGACTTTAGCGTTTGTGCCCAGCTGTTGAGTTTTTAAGTTGACGTATTTGTGTTCAAACAAATCTTTAAACAAAAATTATTGTATCAGAGCAAGAGTAGTGTGATCATGATCGTCAAAAGTACAAATTTAGATGCAGTCCAAATTTATCAAGATGGATTTGTTATGGTCTGTTGTGTCCATTGGAAATTTAATGTTTTTACAAGAAGTGCATGTATTTACTTACAAGACACGTGCACTTTTTCCTAGTACTTTGTGTTGAAATGAGTGATGCAGAACTCCTCTCAAAACACTGTACTGTATTAAATAAATTCCTTTATTTAAACTAATGCCAGCCTTTATGTCAACTTTTTTATTGACCAACATCAGTCTGTGTACACATCATCAGTAGAAACTGTGACATCTGTTAGTTTTGAAGATTCACCATGAACAGTTTTATAAAGTGATTTGGATACAAGAGTTGAAGTTCAAATTAGATAAATTAGTGTGTCAGTTAGATAGATTATTTATTTGTCAGAGGCACAAGTAGCCATTTACAACTATATACACAGAATAATAATATTTTTCTAAGCATTTTGAGACACTAATGACACATTTTTTAGGACATCTTCTGCCTTTAACTGCGTCAGAGGTATGCTGCTTTCCCGCCCACCCTCTGAAATGTAACATAAGGAGCAGAAAAAAATGGTTTAAATATTGACATTCCTCTTAACTTTTGTTTTAGGAGATTAAGAAGGCACTAAATGTGAAACATACCATATCGAGCCCAAAGACGAGGTTGAACACCACTGCATTCACGAATCAGAATTGGAAATTTAGGGTTCTGCTGCTTGATGCCAACATAGTACTTTTCAATAAAGTCCCTAGAGGAAAAAAATAAAAAAGATTCCGTTGATGAAATTTGAAAACAATAGAAAGGAAAATGGAATAACAACCAAGTACCGTAAGAAACTATGCAGTATATGCATTTTACTCGCAACAAGTCGAAGAATTAAGAAAGAAGATATTCGATACAGAATTGAAAAAAAATGTTATGGAAATAAATAGAGAGGGATTTCAACGTTAGATACGATGGAAAACTATTTAAAGCAGATATTATGAAAGTATAGTGTAACAACCTAACCTAAGTTTTGACTGTAAATGTAAGAGCAGCGTAGATAAATCAAGACAGATTGGTTGTGTCGAAAAAGATAAAAACCTTACCGAACGCCTTTGCTTGCTTCAGATTTTTGACATAAGTGAATTCTTAATTCCTTCAAAGCAGGAGAAAATTTAATTGCTTTCGACGCCATGTTGAAGTAAACGCACAGCTGATGTCTGTCTGCTGCGACAAAGTACGCCCAACAGCACAGCCAACACTCGACCACTGAATACCCGAGGTGCGTCGCTTGCAGCATCCGGAAAATCACCGAAATGATTCGCAATTGGGCAGAGGTTTCCCATAATTGAAATATTTCTTTTGAAAGTACCCTTAGCCTTCAATGAGTTCCCAGGTAAAATGGCTCAGCAAGTAGCTAAATTTGCTGTTTGTAAGCGCGGCATATTTAAAAAAACAAAAAAACGTTTTGGTTAAATTAGCTGAAAGCCGACGGCGAGTTTCATTTTCCGAAACATTTCCGTAGAGATACTTCGGATAAAGTCGAGCTGAAAATTAAACCCCAAGCTTATAGTGTTGAAAAATGCCCCCAATGAATGTGCCTCTTATTCCGTGCTTATTCCATCGGACATGATGGTCCTGCGACCAAACAGGACCAAAGCTATGTAATTTGAAATCAAGAGAGTCTTTTTGACCTCATGTTGATTCCAAGTTAATCTAATTCCTCTCTCGTAATAATGTTGAATTGATATCCAAATGACTCTCTTGATGCCAAATTGGATAAATTGCATCTTTTCCTACCATTTCGCGGGGTAACTTATGGCCGCTGTCTCTTTGTTAACAAAAGTGAACAGCCCGCAAGTTAGCGTGATGGAACATTGGGCGTCAAACATTCTCTCTCCCAAAGCCGAAGTTCTCTCACAGCTCCCAGTTCCCGCCCTTGGGCGCTCTGGGCGGGCCGCCGCCGGCTTCACACAATTGCTTGGCGGGTTTGCCTACCCAGCGCGTAGCAGGCGCTATCACTGTAAGCGACACCTCCACTCTCGCAACGGGGAAATAGGGACAGGCACACTACAGCACCGATGTGTCTGCCTCCCCCTCCTCCCCCACCTTACCTCCTTACTTTTCTCTTAGTCTGTAGGGAGTTTTAGTTCAGATCAAGTCACTTAATTCATTTATGCCAGGCCTCAGTAGAACTACTACTCTTACAGTAAAGTTGAACACTTGTAAGTGCGCAACTACGGAATTCAATACTTGCAAGTATTTAACCTGCAGTTGCAAAGTATGTGAGTTAAACAATAAAAACAGATGTAACTGGCCGATGTCTCCGACCCCGACCGCGCAGCAGATCGAGCCCTGCTGACAGGTCGAGTGGGCCGGAGGGAGGGAAAAGGGGGGGGGGGGCGAGGATAGATATATAGTCTGTCTCTATAGAGACAGACTCGGCACCGGAGTAATTGTACGGTAATCCGGCGCGGAAATCGCGTCGGATCCGGTCTGACCCCTCCTCCCCCCCCTTTCCAGCCCGTATTCCACCTCTGATCCGGGCTTATTGAGCTGTAACTGAATAAGAGAAGTGGGTATATCGCTACAGAAGAGAGGCTGGGGGGTGCTGTGCTGTGAGCTACCCGTGTTTAGATGAAAGAAAGACGAATTGTATACACAGTAACAAAAAAAAAACTACCGCATTAACGACAGCTTTTAATTCGAACAACAGTTTTAAATTCACATTTTGTGCTCTATCATACGGTTTACGACAAGAAAATACAGTTAAGAAGTGTTAAAATTCATTGGAAACCGTCGACTGCAGTTTTTCACAATTCATACTCTTATTCTAACAGTGTATTCTTACAGTGTATAACGTTTATGTTGCCTATGGGATTGTTCAGGAAGCACGTCCGTTTTTTCTCCGATTCATTCGGCATATTTACCGGAGCTCGGCGCCTGCGAGACTCAAGGTAGCCTGACCCGCGGTACACACATGCACCGCAGGCAAGATGTTGTCTACGTCCCAGGCGCTTTGAGAGGCAGAGGTTTGCAACGGCATACTTTCTGGATGATCCCAACCGTGCTGTATTTATTTTTTAGAAACGGCTCACGCTTACTAGTCACCATTCACTCCCAACCCTTTTGCACCTTACACCTTTCTAGTCCACCGCCCTCCCTCGCAGCCCAGCCCGTTACATACCGCAACCCTCACCCCGCCGCACACAGTCACCGGGCTTTTTTCTTTTACTCGACTTGATTGACGGGGGTCAGAGTGTAACAATCGGACGCGCGGCAGGAATAGGTGTGTGTGTGTGTGTGTGTGTGTGTATGTGCATGCGCGCGTGCGCGCGTGTGTGTGTGAGTGTGTGTGCGCGCGCGCGCTGCGCGCCGCCCCCGCGGGAGGATGAGGGCGGCTGGAGCTGCCCGGCTCGGAGGGGTGTTGATGGGGGCGTGTAGGCCGGGGG